TTTCCCTTAATATACCTTTCCCTTCCATCTTTGATGGTACGGGCAAGGTAAAAAACGGTTCGGTATTTTCTATCCAGCACTGAAATGATCGGCTTCCAGATAACCTTTGGCATAAAGTGTATTTGTTATAGAAATCCATTGACAACCGGACTGGTGAGTGATCAATATTTACTGGGTTAGAGGTGCTTCATTTTAGTCAAATAAGACAGACGCCCCAAAACTTATTGATGTTGAGACGCTCCCGGGGTGCAGTTCACAGTCTTGCAGGTATTTATGTCATGGCGTACAGCGTAGAATGTTGACACGACTTGGATCCATGTCAACCTCAGTGACCTTATCTCCCCAAAAAATAGTTTTAAACTAAGCAGTACAGATGCAGCGATTCACAGTTAGGCCGATATCGAAGGGCGCTAGTCACAAACAAGATCGCGATAGCGGGCACCTGTCCACATTAATCGGATTAAACCAATTCCGTGTAGGCAGTGTCATTTTTGTCAGCCGTGCACGACAATCTTTCTGCGTCCGATTTGTGTTCAAGTCAGCTACATAGTTACGGATACCTGTCTTGGCAAGTGCGTGTACGTACAAACACGCTTAAACAGACTTGGTAAATATGAACTAAGGGTTGGACCATTTGATTTTTGAGGGGGGAGGTCAGCTCAGTGAAAGGCAAATTTTTTTTTATTTTTATTTTATGTGTTTGGAAAAAAATTTTTTATCAGGTTTGCTTGCAAATTTTTTTTTTTAGGAGTTCATCATATCCAACATTTTTTTTTCATTATCTTCAACAGTGGTAGAAAAGACTTGCTATTGTACTGCTATTTTACGTTTTTTTGACAAAGTGGCCTCAATTTCGACAAATTTGATCAAATCTCAAAACAAAACATGATGTTGTATTGTCTTGAAGTATAGTACCTATGTACAAACTTTCAAGTGAATCAGGCGATATCTTTCAGAGGAATCAGCACAAAAATTAAAAAAAAATGAAATGGCTGTGAGTCGGCCATTTTGGACCGAATCTTGAAAAAAAAGTGACGTGCACCAATAACCCAATATGCATGATCACCATACAAAGTTTGATTGAAATCGCCCTGTTCACGTTTAAATATCAGAATTTAGCAAATTTGAGGGACAAAATGGCTGCCAGTCAGCCATATTTAATTGAATCGTAACGAAAATTGACATATGTAGGTCATTATAGATTGTCTGTATACCAAGTT